AAAGTTATTTTGATATTATTATTATAATTAGTAGTAGTATGAAATGTTAAAATTCAGTAATTTTCAATTATTTTGTTTCATTTAATTGATCTTGTTTTATAAAGTTTGAAAGTAGTTATACTAAAGTGCATATTTTATATTTTTACGGTGAAGACAAATACCGAAAGTAGGGAGAGAAGGGCGGAGGGCGGAGGGCGGTAAACAAAGATTATAATAGTATGAAGCAAAGCAAAAAAATAGATTACGAAAATTTTAAAAATTTTAAGGAAGATAAGATTAGAAAAAGTGAGGTATCAAAAATCAGATAAGATTTTTTCTCTATCGGTTGAAAACAATGAAATTCAGCATAAGATAAATTTTTATAATATATATGCGGAAAAAATAAATATGCGGAAAATAATATTTGGTTGTGATAGCTATGACCAAAAGATTCTATTGTACATTTAATGGAAGTGGCAAGGTAAGAGCTATTGTTCTTGACATATCTAAAGCTTTAATTAAAGTCTGACATGCTAGTCTTCTCCATAAGCTTGCTTCACATGTTACATCTGGGAGAAGTTGGGAAAAAGAGACTTTAACACAAGACGTAGACAAATATTTAAGGGGTAAACAGATTCTATCTGTTGACCAACTTAGCACCCCTTCTTTATCAATTAGGCTGGAGTAGATACATTAATAATACATTGTTTCCAGTTAAAAATGTTGATTGCTGGATCTTCTTGACTCTTTGCATGAGTTTTGCTTGTGTCTCTGTTTTTACGACTAGGCAACTTGTTCTATTATCTCCTTTTGAGAGTACAGCTCTAAAACTCAGTTTAATGTTTCTAAGGCCAGATGGAAGTCAGGTTTTCCGTGCTCTGTAGTAACTCTCAGAGAAGCTGATTCCATAAATATCAGAGTATTATCAGCGCTATGTTGCGAATGAATGATGTTCTAGTTTGTACATTTGGTATGCATTGTTGAGGTCACATTTAAAGCCCTTTCTTACGGCTTAGGGTTTATTAATAGTAATGAGACAACTGCTTGGGCTTGTAGATAGTGTACTATCTGTGCTACGAGTCAAGTATTTTATCCAATTTGAAAAATGACTAAAGTATCAAAAACTGTAAAACACAAAAAACCATCATATCATCAAGTTCTCTAAACTTGGTGATATGATGGTTTCATTCATCATTCACTAATATCTTAAATCGGCCTTCGAAGTAATTTTTTTACTGTTGAGTCTTATCTCTTTCAAAGTTCACCAAGCGTGCATGCTCCTTGTGAGACTAGTTTGAGTTCAGGTGTTCCATTTTAAAATCTTCGTGTTGATGGTTATCTTCCTTTAATTTTGCAAAGACTAGTTATATAGTTGTAAAGTTGGCCTAGACATTTAAATTCGTAAAAACACACCCAAAGGTAATAGATTAAAGTGATGTTAAACCTATCGTTTAGCATCACTTTATTCTGTTACCGCTCTCCTTCATCTTAAGACTGCACTCTTTTCGACGTGATCCCTGATTAACTCGATCCAGCCCTTTCTCTTTATCCTTCAGCCAATATCGTTGTTGGTAACTTTATTTTTTATCACAATGAATGGCTAGGTTCTTTGCACCCTTAAATGCTATAAAACTGATATCTCATTCTTCTTCATCATCAGAATACCCCTATCATCGCAACTGTTACAACTACCTTAAAGCTGACTGGAACTCTTTCCGTAGTTTTTTTGTGATGGCCCTAAGGTAGAAATCTTTTATCTTCGTGCTGACAAATGCGCTTCTAATGTAGCTTTTTGGATTCAGGCTGGAATGAAATCTTTTATTTCTTTTTTGATAATTCTAAGTCAACCCTTACTTTTCTCCATGGTTTTCCTCTCATTATGCTGCCGCAATTTCCAATAGTAACAATTACTTTCTTATCTATCATCAAAAAATTTCTCCAAAAAATAGATGTCTGCTTACTATGGCTAAAAACCATTGTAAAATGGTTTTTTCTAACGCTAAAGTTCACTATTTTAAAACCACAAAATCTTATCTCACAAAATAGGCTACAGAGGCTTCAGGAGAATCTTTAACAGTGTCAATAAATAGAGTAAATTTGTTATTTCACCTCTTTTGCATGCTTCAGATTTTTTTGCCTCACCTAAAGACAAAGCTGAATTGTTTGCTAAGAACTTTTTATCGATAACATCTCTTGATTTGATAATCACATCCCACCTTATATAGTCAACAAACTAGAATTGGAAGTTCTTTTGAATCCTAAAGATGATAGCTCTTTTGAGCTGCGCCCATGACAGTATTTGTTGAAATAAGAAAGAGATGCAACTTTATAACAATGGGAAAGAGGATCAAGTTTAACAGATAAAGAGGGTCCAACTATGTTTACAATGCGTTTTTGGAACTTGTCTAGAAGAGAAAAAACATTATTAGAAGAACCAGCCCAAATAGTAGTATTTCATATTTCATACAGGGATGAATAAGAGATTTGTATAGGTGAAGAATGGATTAAGGAGTAAGAAAATGGTGAGCAAGATAAAGAGAAGCAACCTTAGCGGATGCTAATTTAGCAATCAATTGTATTGATGTAAGGTTGTCAGGAAGATCATTAATGTAGATAGCAGTAGTAACAGAAGTTACTGTAAATGAAGAAGAGTGTTGGCCTTCGAGGATGACTTTATAAAGCAGTCAGAAGGAAATGATTTGATAATCTCAAAAACTTTCCCAGATACACTATATGAAACAAGCTTATGGAGAAGACCAGCGAGCCAAACTTTGTTGAAAGCCGTAGATATGTCAAGAGAAATAGCTCTAACCTCGCCGCTTCCATCTAATGCACAATAAAATCTTTTAGTCATACCAGTTAGCAATTCAGCTGTAGAGCGAGAGGATTAAAAACCGTAGGGTGAGAGGATCGAAAACCGTATTGATTGTCTGATAGTAAGTTATTTGACTCAAGATGGGATGTGAGAAATGCTTTGATCAAAGACTCAAGTACTTTTCTAATAACAGAAAGAAGATTGATTGGACAATAATTAGAGGAGTCAGAATGTTTATTTCATTTTTTGAAAATTGGAACAACAGATACCATTTTCCAGCAAGCAGGAAAGCATTAAAATAAAATCAGTCCAATGAATAAGAGATGGAATATTATACCTACCCTTGGTAACAACGCTGTTTTTACCAAAAGTCTCTAGAGACCAACTTCTGAGATAAGGTACAACATTTAGTGAACTGAGGATAATAGAGCTAAGTATTAGATAGCACCTTTTTGGATTGATTTCTTGCCATTAGTTTGTTCTCAAGAGAGTTCTTATTTAAAAAAAAAAATGAAAATTATTTTGATATTATTATTATTAAATATAGCACCTGAACAAGACATAACACCTAACAAGGTGAAAACCATGGAATAGAACAAGGCTTGATTTGGAACCGACGAGAAAAAAAAAAAATATATATATATATATATATATTTATTTCTTTATCAATAAATATATATATATACTTTTCTTATCAATCGTTATTATATTAATTAACAACAACTGGTAATAATAGTATAAAAGTTGTCCTCGACGGACAGAACTCTTCTTAATTTCCTTTAACTTCGGGGCTCTTCAAAAACGCATTGTAAACATAGTTAAACCTGCTCTTGCAGCCAACCTTCAATAATTATCACATCGTCACAATGTTGCTTCCCTTTCTCTTTTCTATAAATACTATAATACTCTAAAGAGAGTTTCTTGTGCCATCTACTAAAATTCATTCTCATGTTACTCGTTATTCAATTAAGTCCTTTTACTGTGACTGCTCCTTAGTGCTCTAAAAATTTCTCTTCATTTATTTTTTTTCCTCAAACATCAGTTTCAAAATAGATTTTATATCGTTTTTCATTCGCTCCCTTTATCTTGTTTCCTGATTTATACAATTTGCAATCTTTCAATTTGTCTGTAAATTATTATCTTACTTTATAAACTTCATCTTTGCTTTTTCAATAACTTATAATTTTAACAGTGGTTGCTTGCAGCCTTGTTCGAAGTGAAGATGTTAAAAAAAAATGTTTATTTACTAGTCGAGAAGGAAACAATGTAATAAAACGTAACAATTTCTTAGCCTTAAGTAATTTAAGTTGGGCAACGAAAGTAATTTTATGAAAAACGATATAAAATCTATTTTGAAAACGATAATGCAGATATTTTGGAAAGTTGACAACTTCTTTTTTAGAATTCGTTGCTTTAAGGAGAATTTTATAGCTTTGTGGAGATCTTCCCGAGTAAGTTTTATGACATTAATTATAATAGCATAAATTACGTATATTATATATAGCTATTGATATAATGTTGTATAATGATAATGTTAAACAACAAAAATGGCATTCATATTAAAGATGGCAGCAGAAAATTATAGGTTTTAGTTTAGAATAAACACATTAACCATTTCAATCGTTAAACATGATTCTAATAATTTAGAATTTAAGAATTAAAGTTAAAAATAATAAAAATAAGTATAACAATTAGAAATAATAATGTAGCAAGTGTACTTTATTTATTAAAAACTATTTTTATCGATGAAAATTAAAGAACTTGTCAAAAAAATGCTGTTTTATGGTCATAGAATGCAAAAAGGTTTTAACAATGATTTTTTCAGTTAACTTTAAAATATATTTAATTTAGTTAATTTTAAAATTCAACAGATCAAATTCAAAGAAACGATTAAAAATTTGATAAGAGAGAAAAAAGTAATCATTTGACCAGCTTTTCAATATTTTTAAGCATGTTTATGTATTTTGTGACTAGTTCATGCCTTAGGATATGCTGAAATTTTTACGGTATGAAAATCTCAAACTATGCTATAAATAGCAAATTAAGATTTTGCTCTATAGATTGAAAACTTAGCAATTTTAATAAAAATTGTTGGTATTATTAAGTGAAACACACTTATTTAAAAAAAGGGGGCGAATATCAATGCAATTGTTTAATAAACGTTTTGAGGTGGAAGTAGCAGTAAATAAAAATAAAAGAAATTTTTAAAAAAAGCGGTCTTTGTAAATAAATAATATTTTAATACAATAAAATTTTTAAATTTAATTAGTGAAAATCTAAAACGAGTTTTTTATCAAACTGCTTTACACTCTGTAACTGATGTATCTTCTGTGTCTTTAACTATTAATGACATAACTTTTAACTTGCTGCCTACTCCTTCGATAGCTGACAGAGACAATGGCCCAACGTAGGGTCCTAAATCCATTCCTTGACAATTTTTTTCTGTCCACATTAAGACCTTCAGACCTGCTGGTACAATCATACTTTTTATCTTTTCATCCTTGTTAGTATAATCGCATCCATTTATTGTCAATGACGGATAAGCCTAAAACGAAACAAATATAAAATAGATGTATAACAAACAAATCATACTTTAGTGAATAAAAGCATCCTATATACATATGGTTTTCCAAGTGTTACTTACAAAGCTCTGAAATGTACTTAGTTTGAATTTGTAGTTTATAAAGATGCTAATTTTGATCTATTTTGTGATAATCTTAATAATCTCAAAATTGCTTCTCAACTTGTTTCTTCTCACAGCAGTGAGAAGTGCATATATATGCTATAATGCTAAACATTCTATTATTAAAATTATATTTGTTCACACTCATATAATGCTTAGAACCCACTCATTTAAAAAATGAGTAGGTTCTAAGCATTATATGAGTGAGTTATTTAAGCACCAAAATACATTTTGATGAAATTTAAAATCGAGTTATAGTTTAAGATTTTACTAACGATAAAACCTTTTTTTTATATAAACTAGTTTTTCTGGTTACAATCCTCGTTCAACTCTTTAACTCTGAAACACCTTGTTATATATATATATATATATATATATATATATATATATATATATATATATATATATATATATATATATATATATATATATATATATATATATATATATATATATATATATATATATATATGAAATGACCTATTATTAGTATACATATATGAAAAATGAACTTAGAACTTAATTTTCTTAATTGGCACAGATATTTCTATAAAGAAAATCAAATAAAAAGTCAATTACAAGTCCATCTTGTACAAAGGAATAATAATAGTAATTATAGCATATTGAAACTGAACACTGAAAATGTTTAAGTGATTTGTTTGCATAGATTTTGTTGTACATGCTCATGTGTTTAAAAAACTTTGTTACCTTTTTTTACTTTTATTCACATCCTAAGGTCAAGGGGGCCATTACAGTTGAGAAGACTACTTTTTTTTATTATGGTTAAAAAAAAAACTTTTTCAACTCTTTAACTACAAAACACAAACTTGACAAACAATGTCAATGGAGATAAAAAAAGTTGAAATTAGAAGTTCTATACCAGTTTGTCCTCTATACATGCTGATGTTTATTGAGCTAAGAGTAATTTCGTTTGTATGTAGGACAACTGTATTTTTTTTTTAGCTTAAGCTGATAGAATCAGAGTTGCACTGGTTTAGAAGCTAAATAATCTAACATATTTCATTTTTGCACCATTATTTGTTTTTGAAAGAAAAGTAAAACAGTTTAACTGATTTAAGCAACTTAATGACTGGTGTTACTTTTTTTCAGACCATTCTTCAATAAAAAAAATTTTTATACTTATTCTGCATTGGCATCAATACTTTTATCATCCGTTAATCCAAAATTTTAAATCCAAGAAAATTTATATATTATAAGATGCACTAATATAAAGATTTTATTTAAAATAAAACATTACAAAGGCAAAAACAATAAAAAAAAAACAGTTATTCAATTTTACTTACGCCCTTATCCAGATATTCACACTGATGAGAAAAAGATTCTCCTTTGCAAATCTTTACCATTTGTGAAACTTCTTTTTGACTGTATAATATCCTTATGGAAACAACTTTGTCTTTTATACAAAAATTATCGATTGAATTAGGGCCATAAAACGGACCATATTTAGTACCTAAAAACAATTTTAAATTTAAAGATGCTGTGATTTTAAATATAAATTAATAAATTCCTTTTACAAAAACAAGTGCCTACATGTGAACAACAAAGAAATATTGAAAAACCTATTTAAAAATTATAAGTATAAGTAATTATTAAAAAAGTATAAATAAAAATAATTATTCAAAGTATCTTGCATTTGATGTTTAAAAAAAAATTATGTTACTATATTAAGCAGGGAAATGAAAACCATTTTAACTATTTTTAACCACAAGTGAATTACCATTTTAACCATTTTTAACCACAAAGGAATTACCATTTTTAACCATGTTTTTTTTGATATTAAGGTAAAGGACATGAGTAAAATAAAGAAATGTCAAAGGTGGAAACCTTCAATTAGTAAATGTATAAAGTGTGGAATATTTATCCTAACTCTAATTACATCACTGCAATGTAGCAGTACTGTAATGGATGTTATCCCTAAATTAGTCAATGTATATAATAAAGCACCAAGCCCTGAAACCTATTTCTGCACTTTATACCCACATTTTACCTGTTTAAAATCTCTGCATTTCTTCATTTTACCAATCCCTTAAGTTGTATTATTTTAATGTTTTTGACACATAAAATAAAATAAAAACACTATGGATATTTTGATAGTAGAACTTTTACTTTAAATATCACAGTATCCATTTAATATCTATTATATCCATATATTCTATATATAACTACATATAGTTATGTAACAATATATAGTAACATACTGATTTATGACACTTTTAATTATTTTTTTTTATTATCTAAAACTTAAGTTATTTGCTACACCTTCATCCCCCGAACAATTAACAACTTTCTCTAACTGAAAACAAGTCAACAAAAAAGAAAAAACATCTTTAGTTAAATAAATCTTGTATATCATAAAAATTTAAAAATCTCCATCATGGAAATATGCTGTTTGTATGGAATGGAAATAACATGGTTTAAAAAAATCAAAACCGCCATTCTTTTAACCTATTGACAATCTTTTCAAATCAATGCTAACTTAAAGTCTTAACCTTTTGTAACTACTTAAAACCTTCGTGAATTTTTAGCCAATTGCTTGGGCTATTAAATAGTGTACCATGTATGCCATGTATTCTTTGAGTCAAGCTTTTTAACAAATTTAAAAATGAATTTTTTAAATTGTAAAGACTCCGATAGTCACATGCTTGGCCTGGGCATTTACATTCGTAAGAATTCACTCATTTGTCAGGAAACTAGGTTTGATCCCACCAACTATTCTTTTATGTGCTTTTGTTTAGCACCACTTCACTCTATTGCCTTTTTCTTTGTTCTTTATCTCTCTCCTTTATCTCAAGACTGCACTCTTTTCAATGTTATTTTCAATCAAATTGACCAAGCCCTCTCTCTTTAACCATCAGCCAATATTATTGTTGTTAGTGGCTTTAATGCTCATCACATTGAATGGCTTAGCTCAAGTGTCAGTGACTCTGCAGGCCTTAAGGCCCACACTATTTGCTTTTTAAATCTCTAAATCAAATAGTCAACTTTCCAACTTGTTTTCTAGATTAATGTGCTTCTTACATAACAGGGCTCGAATTAAGCATATTGTTGATATGATTAATGGTTGATATATACATATCAACCATTATTCATATCAACCATTAATCATATTAACCATTAATCATATCAACCATTAATCATATCAACCATTAATCATATCAACTATTAATCATATCAACCATTAATCATATTAACCATTAATCATATCAACCATTAATCATATCAACCATTAATCATATCAACCATTAATCATATTAACCATTAAGTTACAAAATTCGACCAATAAATATACCTAACAAACGTTTCTATTGTTACTTACACATAAAAGGTTTCTAGCCAGAAATTATTTTTACAAGAAATTTTGGATAGAATATGATAAACGCAATACCATTTAAAAATTATTTTCATACTATTTATAGCAATATCGAGGTATATTTTTTATACGTATTGCGTATTTTTAATACGCAATTTTAATTTTAGGATTTTGTTTAAAACAAAATTAATCTCAACAAAAGACTTTTACTTTTAAATTTTAAAAAATTTGTGAAAAATTTGAAAAACAATTCAAAATTTTTAGTCTTAAACTTTTGAACATCTTTAACCTTCTTATAATCATCTTATCTTATACAATTATTGTAAACTTAATTTAATGAAAACTGTAGCAATGTCTGTAATAACAGATTTCCTAAAAACAGAAATTATAGAAACAGAAATACAAATGGAAGATTTAATAAAAGTCTCAAAATTGTTTTACATTTGTTCAAATTCAGAAATACTAATAAAAAAATACTTTGTCGTAATAAAAAAAAAGAATTAAATTTTTTTTTTGGAATCTTAACAAATTTATAATAAATGTAAGAGAAAAATGGATGTAACGTTAATTTCTTAACCTAAAATCTCAAGGACTTTATTCCAACAATAAAGGAAAGTAAAAAAGTTAATTGATTGAAGAGTGAATTTCCTAACCCGAATTCTCAAGGGTTTTATTTGAATGTTGCTAATAAACACTTTTTATGACTATTTTTTTATGTTGCTCAAATGAAAAATATTATCAATTCAATTCAAACAGCTTTTTAGTGATTAAAAAACACTTCATTAGTATATTTACTCAATTTAAGTTTGATCAAAAAATGGATTCAAATAGAGATCACAGGAGTAAACTATCCACAATAAAGAAGTGGGAGAGATGTTTTAATTGCGAGTTGGAGTATGATTTAAATGGGCTTGATGTAATTAGATTACAATGCAACCTATGTAAATAGTTCGAAAAGCGTATAAGTCAAACAAAGTTGTTTTCTATGACCTGAATCAAATCAGGCACAATATCAATAAAATAAGACTCCCTGGCATTGCATTTAAACAGTACACAACATAAAGGGGTTATTCAAATACATAGACAAACAACATTATGTTCGGCATCAATTTCTGAGCATGTTATTCATAATACTCCAATTGGGCGTCAATTGCGTAAAATGGCCACAAAAGATGCTGAATCTTATAAATAAAAAAAGTTTAACATTGCATATTACTTGAAAAAAAGAGAGTGCTTCACAAATTATCCTCATTTGATTGTATTAGAGAGAAAAAAATAGGGTCCGTAATTTAGGAAATTCTTATCGTAGTGACATGCAGCTGCGACTTTTACAGACTACATAGGCACCATAATAAAAAAAAAATTATTGAATGCTTAAAAAGTTGTAGATTTTACTGCATTCTCAGTGACGAAAGCACAGATTCAGCGGTATGTGAACAGAAATTAGTTTATATTCTCTATTTAAAAAATAGATGCCCAAAAACAGAATTTTTATCTCTTGAAACAGAGAATTATGACGCAGTTGGATGAAAAAATATAACGAATGCTATTGCAAGAGTTGGCATTACCAATGTTTATAAACATATACTAGGTGTAAACCTTGATTGAGCAAATGTTAATCTGGGAATTCATGCTTGTTTAGGTGCATTACTAAAGGAGGGTTTGCCTTGGCTAGAAATTGTACACTGCTTTAACAATTGGTAGCTTTAAAAAAAGCATTTAAAAGTTTAATTTCTCTTAAAACTGTTAATGAACTATTATTACAACTCTATTATATGTATCAAAAGTCACCAAAGTACTGCTGTTAACTACAAGGATTAGCCAAAGCCTGGGGTAATAACATTTATGACACATTAAATCATTAGCTACAATAAACTCCCAATTATCAAAAAGAGCAGATTTGAAAGGATTTTTAAAGCAGTGGAAAAATGCCGTAATCCCTATTCATCTGTAAATATATATAGATGTTTTATCTCCCCTTAGTCGTTTGAGTTTAAATTTTCAAAGCAATATTCACCATCCGGTAAAAGCGGTTAGAAGAGTTTAAGAATTTACATAACCATTTGCCAAGCTGCAAATACTTCTCAAAAATTCAGAAGACAATTTGCTTGACAAAACAAGTGTCATAAACTACTATACTGTTTAAAGATATAGAAATTATTGATTCAAAAAATCGTTATCAAAATTTTCCACTTTCTGAGTATGCCGAAGTTAATAGCAAGTTTCTTGAGCAGTACAAACTAGTTATTGCAAGTATTTCCATAAGTAAATTTTCATATTACAAAAATCAATCTCTCCAAAAATCAACATTGTTTGTGCATTTAGTAGCTTTACTTGATGTTTTTAACTGGTCATTAAATGCAAACGATAGTACTTTTTGCGACAAAGTATGTGAATTGTGTAATATACTTCCTAAATAGATAATATTAAAAGCATAAATGTTTCCACTCATAAGTAACAATCAAAAAGAATATAATTTGAAAGTTAGGAAAATTGTTTTTTCAAAATCAAATTTGGTCAAGGAATCTTGAAATATTCTTGATATGTTTAACTTTTTTTAATTTGTCGATTTACAAATGCGAAGGTTGAAAGAATGTTTTCCTGTATGAATAAGGTAAAAAATGACTGGAGAAGCTGCCTAGGGCAAGATATTTAGAATCTCTATTTCGGATAAGTGAAGACATTACTGAAATTTAAAAATTTTAACCAGATGCTGCTATGGACGAATAGTATAACAATAAAGTAAGACATTTTTCCACAAATTGTCATTGTTATCCGGAAAAAAGAAAAAAATGTTTCATGAAATTCTAACATAGATCTAGCGACAGTAACTATTTCAGATTTAGAAGATAATGCAAACAAAGAAGAAAGTTATTAAAGTTGCTAAGAATAGTTTAATTTTTTCAATACTTCATAAAGTACCATTGTTTTAAATACAGTTAAAAAAGTAGAAACTTTCTGTAGCAAACATTAAACAAGTGAACTGAAAATTAAACTTTAAATAATTTATATTAAAAAACTATAACTCTTTAAAACTTTTTTTTCAAGAAAAAGAAAGCTCATATTTCATCTCAAAAATAAGGCTCTCGTGACTTCAGGAGAATCTTTAACAGTATCAACAATAAGGGAAAATCTGTTATTCCACCTCTCTTGTACAATTCAGATTTTTTCACTTCTCCTAAAGACAAAGCTGAATTTTTTACTAAGAACTTTTTATCAATATCATCTTTTGATTCCAATAGTTGCATTCTATCTGATATTGCCAACATTCAGGTTGATCCATTGCTTGACATTTGTATTACTCCAGTTTCTGTATCTAAAGTGATTTTTTGTTTAGACTCTTCTACAGTTTGTGGTTTGGACAACATACCTGTTGTAGTCTTGCAGAAGTGTTCACTTGTTAAATAGTTTGAAAAGAATAGCAACAAGTGCAATTAGAGTCTTATTATCAGCATGCTGGAAAGCAGCATTTGTTAATAATATATTATTTATTTTCAAAAATTCTGGAGAGCAATCTGACTCTTCTAACTACCGTCTCATTAATCTTCTTCCTATCATAAACAAGGTTTTTGAATCTTTAATTAACAAACACTTAATCTCTTTTCTTGAGTCTAATAACTTACTTTCTGATCATCAATATGGATTTTGATCTTCTCATTCTAAAGCTGATTTGCTAACAGTAACAGCCGATAGGTTTTATAGTACATTAAATAGAGGTGGAAAGTTTAAGGCTATCGCTCTAGACATTGCTAAAGCTTTTGATAAAGTTTTACATGCTAGTCTTCTTCATAAGATTTTTTCTTACAGTTTATCAGGTAACATCTTTAAGATTATTGAATCCTTCTTTTCCATGATATTCTTACTTAGATATTCTCACATCTAAGGTGATGATACCATTTATTCTTGTCATGATAAGAAGCCAACACTCTCTGATTGCTTGGAGGGGGCATTTGAGCTTGAAAGGAATTTCACTTCTGCTACAGCATGGGGTTCACAGTGACTGATGAACTTTAATTCAGATAAAACCTAATTTTTTTCAGCCAATCATTATCATAATGTTTTTGATCTTCCTATATTTATGAACATTCATTTATTCGATGAGTCATCTACCATTCATCTTCTAGGATTAACTCTTACATTACTTCTTTTTTTAAACCATATATCAAATCCATTGCAAAATTAGCATCTGCTGAGGTTGCATCTCTTTATTGTGCTTGACACTTTCTTACTTTTGATTCTACCCTATATCTCTATAAATTGAACAGAATACTGTTGCCATATCTAGGGGGGATCTTTCAATGATTCCCTTTCTCTTTTGGACAAAGTACAAAAAAGCATTGTAAACTTAGTTGGATCTTATCTGCTTTTGCAGCTAACCTTAAACCATTATCACATTGTCATAATGTTGCTTCTTGTTCTCATTTCTACAATTACTATAACCAGCACTTTTGTAAAGAGCAAGCACCTTTTGGGCCATTTACTAAAATTTATCCTTGCGTTACTTGTCATTCAATTAAGTCTCATCCTTTTTCTGTGAATATTTCTAAATGCTCCAAAAACTCTTATTCGTCTAGTTTTTTTCCTCAAACATCAGTTATTTGGAATTTGCTTTCTTCATCTTGCTTTCTTACTTATATAACTTGCAATCTTTTAACTCATCTGTCAATCGTTATCTTTCTCTTTAAACTTCATCTTTTATCTTCCAGTAACTTCCAACTCTAATAGTGCTTGCTTGCAGTCATGTTGGAAGCGAAAATGTTAAAAAAAGATTTTTACTGTTGTAACTATTCAAATCCCCTCTACAATTAGGTAAAAAGAAGCAGTTGTTTGAAAAATATATTTTACTACCAAAATACTGTAAGTAATAATCAATTACTATAAAATTTACTAACCTCCTTGATTAATTTCAGAAAAAAACTCTGCTTGTAATCCTTCTGGAATCATTACAGACTCTACTTTCTTTTCAAATGTTTCAACTAAAAAATAAAATTAAATTAAATTAATATATAAAAATAAAAAAAAATTAGTAAATAGTAAAAAAGTGTAACAATAATTGTTTTTAAAAGTGAGATTTTTTTAATTTCAAAAAACTATTCTTTTTAATTCTAAACTTATTTTCTCTCTTTTTCTCCCTCTCAATTCTGCCCTCTACCTCTATAAATCTCTAATTTGTTCTTATATGAAATTATGTTGTCATATTCGGGTGGAATTTTCTAATGATGCACTTTCTTTTTTTAAACAAAATCTAAAAACATATTGTTAATAAAATTAGACCTGCTCCATCTACCTAGCTTAAACCATTTTCCCAATTTGCTAAGATTACATTTTTTTCTCTTTTCAACAAATACTATAATTTTTACTGCTCAAGCAAGCTATAATTTTTTGTTCCATCAACCAAATCTCTCTTAACTCATCATCTAAGTTGCATCCTTTTACTGTAACTGCTTCTTCATGCTCAAAAAGTTTCTTTTTATCTAGTTTTTTTCCTTGCACACAGATTAGGAATTCTCTCATGCTTCTTTTCATTCTCTTCATGCTTTCCTGGCTCTCATGACTTTCATGACTTTCCTGACTATATGACTACAAATTGCATATTTTCAAGTTGACGATTTTTTTGCTATTTAGCTCTCATTCAATTTTTTATGTTTTAAAATTATGACAATGGATGTACTGGAAGTTGTAAGAGTTTAATGTTATTTGCACAAACATCATAAACTTTCATTAAGACAAGTGTGACCTATCCACTAGCAAAAAAAACCTTCACTAGATAAATTCATTTTTGACTTTTATCTATAATGATTCAGTTCTAATCAATTAATAAAAACATTAAATTTAAAATAGATAAATGTTTCTGAGATGATAATAAAATGAAAAGATGATACATTAATATAATAATAAGGTAATTGATAGCATAACAGTAATAAGATCTTAAATATTTAATAGAAAAAAATTTTATAACATAATTGTTAAAAAAATTAAATAAAAAATAAAATTTTTATATTTCATTATAGTTTTAAAATCTTAATTCAGGTATAAAATATTTTAATAGAGTATATATATCTTTATGAAATCAATTTTCATAACCTACCACTGATTAACCTCAAATTTGCAGAATGTCCAGCATTAGTATATGGCTCCAACTGATGACAAAACCCATTCTTAAAGCAATGTAAAATTATTAAATACAAAAAACAACAGTAATCTTATTTTTTTTTGTTACAATTGGGTAAAAGATAATAATTTTTATTAATCGCATTTTTTCATAATTAAAACACAAAACATTTAAATTAAATATATTTTTTATTTTTTAAATTTTATCAATTTTTTTTCAAATACTTTTTAAAAACAAAAACAAAAAAAAACAATGAAAAATTTTAAATAGAAAAAACAATGAAACATTTTAAATAGAAAAAACTATGAAACATATTAAATAGAAAAAACTATGAAACATTTTAAATAGAAAAAACTATGAACCATTTTAAATAGGAAAAACTACGAAACATTTTAGATTAAAAAAAAAACTAAAAATAAATTTTTATAAAAAATTTTTTGTTTTAGTTTTATAAACGGCTTAATAAAAAATTTGAAACATGAAAAAAATTTAAAATATTTTTTATTTTGTTTGGTTATCTTTTTAAAGTATCAATTTTAAAATGCAATATTACATACACTTTTTTTTAGCATAACAACTCTTTATTTAAAAATAAAAGATTCAAATCATTTATCATAATAATTAAAAATAAAAAAATGGAAAAATTCCCATTTCCATTGAGATTTGTTAAAAAAATTAATTTTTCACAAAGTTTTCACAGTTGGTCAAAGTGTGCCAAAATTAAAAAAAAAAATGTGTTTAATGTAGGTTTAATGGTAATAGTTTTCCATACTTAAAAAGCTTTAATAAAATGATATTTGTTAATCATTAGCTTTTAAATTAAAGTTTATATGACCTGTTAAAGATGAAATTTTTTTTCCGATTTGTAAATTTTAAAACAAAAATTAATTAAAAATATAAGTTGCTATACCTAAGTTGTAAATTGTTTTATGAATTAAAATATATGCGCTATTTTTTTTATATATATATATATTGATAGATTTATCTTTTTTTAAACAACAGAACTTTGCTGCAAGTTTTTTGCTTGTAAGTGCAAGTTTTTTGCTTATAAGTAAGAAATTTTATTTAACTTTGAAGTTGATGTAATTTTGTATGTTTTTTGAGTGCGAATTTTTACTTACTTTAGTTAATTAAAAAAACCTCCAAAATCCTCCAGTCTGAAAATATTTTAAAATCTTTATAAAGTATATATATATTTTAAAATTGGTTTGAGCCTCAACAAAGTACCACCTTGTCTAAAAAATAACTTTTAGATAACAGCAGGGATAGCGCCAGCATTTTTTGGTCTTCGAGATATCTAACTTCCAGACATGGAGCAAACTCCAAACATTTATATGTTTATACTTATGTCAAATAAATATGCTTTGCAAAAAATTGCTATGATTGGAGCCTGGGAACAAAAAAAACCTAAAATTGTAGCCCCTCCTCCTTGCGCCAAACGTGAGAGCAACAAACTGATGAAATATCTTTTGAAATATTTTCAACTATGCTTGTATTACTCAATAAATTTTTAATTTTCATAGTAAAATATTTTAGCATTCAAAAAATAAAGTTTAAACCCCCTCATTTTGAGGGGTTGCAAATTTCATATGGCCATAATTTTTGAACGCTGAGAAATTAGACTAAGAAACTTAAAAATTTTAAGTTTCATAGTATAATTTCATATTTTTTGATTGCTAAAATATTTTACAATGAAATTTAAAAATTTATTTCTAGATATGTTATTTAAAGCTAATTTAGTAATATTTAATAAAAAAAATAATTTTGGCACAAAAATGGGCAATCTGACCCACTGTGCAAAGTTTACAATCAAAGTAAAGTGAGTAATATTTACGATTTAAAATTCTCAGTTTATTTATTTGTTATATTAAACAACTAACTGAATGCATTATACTAATATACTTTGTTTATTAACACTTAAAAGAAATAATTCAAAACTTATAGCGTACTGAGGTTATCTTAAGGTTTTCAGATGAGCAACAGTTTTTATTTAGTATATTAACCCTTAAAAGGTTAACCTGTAAGAGGTTCTTTTCCTTGAAAATAAAATTCTATTTGCTAAGTTTAAATGTCATATTTGGAACAAGCTCCTTTTAAAAATCTACAAATGAAAGAGAAAAATTTGCCAAATTTAATAAAGGCAACAAAATCACTTCGAAGGAAACAATCTGTTTTTGTTGCTGGAACAAAAAAGAACACAAAAGAACATTTGAGTCCAAATTATGACAAAGTCACAACTTGGACTCTAAGCCAGCCCTAAAAGATTTAATGAAAAAGATTTGTGGACTTAAGGTATTATCAGCTAAAAGTTTACCTTTCGGGTCTCTGCCAATTAGCAAGTGACTAGGGTTGAGATTTGACCAGAAAAAGATAGAGCCTTGCAGTACCATTGAAATTACTGGTAAAAAACCTGACTATGGCCTGCATAAAAATTGATACATCCTAAAGTATATTTTTTGAATTTGGAGTTCATATTATACTTTATATGTATGCATGAATTTATATATATATATATATATATATATATATATATATATATATTATATATATATATATATATATATATATATACATATACATATATATATATATATATATATATATATATATATATATATATATATATATATATATATATATATATATATATATATATATTGTTAATTCACCTCCTCAAGGCCAAGAATGCCACTACAGACAAAGAGGCTATTTAAATTTGGTTATAACCCTCTCTCATAACTCTACAACTATGAGACACAGACCTTGACAAATAAGGCCACTGCATGGGGAAACATGTTGATATATATATATATATATATATATATATATATATATATATATATATATATATATATATATATATATATATATATATATATATATATATATATATATATATATATATATATATATATATATATATATATATATATATATATATAATAAAGTGATGATGATGATGATCATCATCATCATCAACCTTTAATCTTTTTTTTATATCTTGTTTTTTTAATATGAACATCTTTATCATCTGTTTTAACCCAAGCCTCATTCTATTCTATGTTTTTTACCTTGCAAAATTGCTTTATAAAACCATAATCGTTTTTTTCATCTTTTTCACAAGAACATCTCTCTTGAAAACAAATATCTTTTTATTATTGTAAGAAGGCAAAATGTAAAAAGGTTCTGTCTGATGCTAAATTCCACTATTCACAGTTTACTAAACCTTGCAACTTATCCTAGAAGTTAGGTTCTACAGAAGTTCGAATAATTTACAACAGTGTCATTAACTCAAGTAAATCTCTAACTTATGGGTCTGAGCTTATTACCTTTACTATAGTTTCTTTTGCTATAGCCAATCCTCAATTTAATTCTTGCAGTTCAGTCAACGTTTCTATCATTGTCTTACAAAATTGATCTTTAGTACTCTCAACAATTCTTTATAAACTATTATTAAGTACTAAACACATGGTTCCAATTTCTTAAAACTCTAGAAAAAACTTTGTTCTCTCCATCTATCCTACAATTAGTCTTCTCTGTATTATTAGTTTCTTTACATGAAGGTTTTCAGATTGTTTTCTAACATTTTCATTTTCTAACAACAGTATTAAAGTCATTTTCAAACTCTTCTTCATTTCCAGTAACTTCAAGGGTATTGAAAGACTTTATTATTTCATTTATATTGCTCTTATATTGCTTCGTATCTACAATAACAATCATCCTGACAATCTTACATCCAAAGTGGCTCTACTTGCTGACAATTCAACTTTATACTCTTGTAAAAGTTGAATTGTTTTAAGCGAGCAAAAAGTCTTCACTTTTTGCTCGCTTAAAACAAGCATTTTTAATCTAATCTTTTTTACTGTAACAGTTTGGGGCTTGAGGATATAAACAACAAAACTCAGTTATTTACTGCAAGCAACTATCATAGCATTCCCATACTGACAAATAACATCTTACTCTCAGTCAAGTTTCAAAAGCACATTATAAATTTAATTGGACCTATTTTTCTTCCAAACTTGAGCCACTCTCCCATCATCATTAGGTTGCATCTCCTTCCCTCTACAAAATTATCATCTTTTTACTGTATATGTCCCTTAATGCTATAAATTTTTTTATCTAGTTTTTTTCCTCACAACCGAAAAAATTTAAAAAATCTTACCCATCTTCATGTCACAACCTACAACTTTTCATGTTATAAAGTTAGTTGTTTAGATTCTAAATCATGTGAAATCAAGAATCTAAAATCAAAGAATTCTAAAAAGAAATAAATATTCTTCTTTTGTTGGCTAAAGTAAAACAAAAAAGTTTTGGACTTAATAAGCCAGTCCTAATAATTTTAATAAAACAATTTGTGGAGCCAAAGTATTTAAGCTTCACAAGTGCTTACCATTCTAGTCTTTACTAACTTCGTTGCACAGATTTTTAATCAAAGAAGAGAAATTTTCTTAATTTGAAATAGACTGTAAATGATATCATAAAAAAAAGACCTTTTTCTATTAATATAGAGCAATTTTTTTTAACATCTTTACATCCAACAAAGTTGTAAGCAACCACTATTAGAGTTGGAAGTTACTGGGTGAGAAAAGATAAAATTTATAAAGCAAGAAAACAACTAACAGATAAATTGAAAGATTTCAAATTGTTTGAATATGGAAAGCGAGATGAGAGGGGGTATTTTCCAAAGAACTGATGTTCATAGAAAAAAACTAGATAAATAAGAAAAGAAGAAAAAGTTAATCCTAGAAGACAAAGAATAGATGATTCATTGAGTACATAAATATATAAATATAAATATAGTTCATAAATATAGGAAGATAAATTTATCATTCGTCAAGAGACCCATGCTGTAGTAAAAGTGGGATCCTTTTTAAGCTCACATTCCCCCTTTAAACAATCAGAGAGTGTTGGTTTCTTATAAAGACAACAATAGTAGTATCATCAGCAAACAATACCACCTTAGATGTAAGAATTTCTTGGAGATGTAAATTTAAAAAAATATGGGGACAAGGATAGAATCTTGAGGAAGTATTCTTCTTTATTTCC